AATAAATCAGTCATTAAAACGAGAGGGGTCTGGATGCAGACCTGGTGCAGTGCAATCTGAGCTGCATCCAATGCTTTTTAATGTGTTCATCTAACCCCACCCCTAACACTACCTGCCACAGTGACGTCACTCACTCCATTGAGTGCATTGTGTCTGACATTGCATCACTGAGTGATGATATCTCAGCTTCCATCATAAAGGCTGCATCCAGATACTATTGATTAAAACTATTGTTTTAAAATGTGTTTAAAATTATTCTGTCCATAAAACAGCACTTAGGAAATATTCGAAAAAGAATTCAAATTTCACAAGGGCAAATAACTTTGTCTTCAAAGATTAAAATATTTTTTTTTCCTACTAAGATTATAAACCTGAATCAAAACATTAAAGACATTGGCTGTGTTGGAAATCATATACTTCCATACTAATTAGTATGCTAAAAACAGTATGCGAGCCGAGTAGTATGTCATAGAATCAGTACGCGAGAAATAACCAGATGACCTACTCCTTGCGGGCAGGATTCTGAAGTGTGCATCTGATGAACTATGCTATCCCATGATGCACTGTGAGATAATTCATATATGGAAGTGAAGCGACGCAACTGACGTGAGTAGGTCACATGATTATGACAAAATGTTGGATGTAGTATGCTGAGTTCCATTCATACTGCTCACATTCATACTGTATAGAACACAACTTTCTAACAGTCGAGAAGTACATTTAAATTTAAATGCAGTACCTACTGAGTAGAAGCAACCAACACTTTCAAATTGAATTTAAAATTGTTTTGAAAATTGTGATGGTCTTCTCTATTGTGATGCGTATTTTAGTAAAGTTCATTATTTCATTCATTTTCCTTCAGCTTAGTCTTACAAATAAAACCATTATTATTTAATAAAAAACAAGAATTGTCAGTTATTCAAAACATTAAACTGAAAGTTCATTTGAGATCATCACATAACTACAGATCTGTTATTGTACATCATCAAGACTTCAAGATGTGATACACGTTCAAAGCAAAACTGATGCTTTTTATTGAATGGGAAAGTGTTTATAAGCGGTTCTTTTCAAGTCATCATAGGAAATCTTTATCTCAGCTCAGTAAATTAGCCATTCCAGCTCAACATCTACGATCAATGACCTCCATTTTAAAGTAGCATGTATTTTGTAGTAAATCTCATTTGAACTTTTGAAAAGACGTGCTATCATTTTATAAACAAATAGGCAATAGTTTTTGCATACGCTGAGCTTTGCATCTTTCAGAAAAACAACAACAATTTTGCCATAATTCTAAACAGCATCTCGACATATGCTGAGGAAAAGCAATAAAGCCTTTACCAAAAAATAATGCCTCACGGAACACAGTGCGAGATTAACCTGAGATCTATTCCTCGATCAATGTGAAGCTAAGTCTGCGCTGCTTACAGCCAGCTTAACAAATCACACGTTCAACACAACAATCTGCCACACGCCAGCCAGAAGCTTTCATTCCCATATTTTAATCTTTTCTGCTGACGTACTGACACATTCACTGTCAGCGATACTGAATATTTCAATCTGCAGTGGTACAGTGGCACAGTAATTTCAGGTCTTGTGTTGTGCTGAAGAGCAGGCAGTGGGGTGAGCTCTTCAAGTTCTCCTGATTTCCATGCTCACACATGGAGCCTGTGATAAGAGTCATTACCGCAGAGAGCCGTAATCACTGCCTCCGCTGTGACTGTACTAGTGCAGGAATCAACCCAGAGCGCTGATGAGATACTGAGGAATCTACTTTGAGTTCAGTAACTCTGAATGAAACAGAAGGCAGCTTTAGTTTAATACAAAATGCAAACTTCACTTCACTGAATCCTTTGGGGCGACAGACATGCAATTTCAACAAGCAATTTCAGAAGATTGAAGGTTTGAATAATTCTGATTATATATGTATTGTCTCCAGTGGTGTAAAGTAACAAATTACAAATACCCAAACTACTGTAATTGAGTAGTTGTTCTCAGTAATTGTAATTTACTAAGTAAAAAACTAAAAATGTGTTCTTTTAGTTTCCCTTGAGTCCATTTTTAGTGCAGTATTGGTACTTTTACTCCATTACTTCAATCTGCAGTCACTACTTTATTCTTTTCTATGTGGATTAGACAAATCAGTGTGTGATTCCCATCCAATAAAAATCACACATAGAAAGTAAAACTACTTAAGACGTGCAGCTAACAGTTTCAACAAAAAGATGTCCAAAATCTTTACACGCAAATGACTCAAAAACTGTTAGACTGAATGTCACTGATGAAAAGATAATGGATGTTTACTGTATAATGACTGAAATGGCCTTAAACAATAACTAACTGCACTACAGAATGTTACGTTTACACACACACACACACACACACACACACACACACACACACACAAACACACACACACACACGCACAAATTACATATAAACGCATCATCCTGTCCCAGTGTAAAAAGTTTAAAAGGTTTACTTATTACCCATACTTAATATACTTACCCATACTTACCCATAAGTAATATTTACAACAGGTACGTTTACTCCACTTGCCCTACATTTTTGGGCTTGGTACTTTTACCTGAGCATGATTTTCAGTACTCCTTCCACCCGATTGTCTAATATTGTTCTGCATTAATGGCCAAATCTCAAGCTGTGACCGCTTACAAGGGCACTTGAAAAGTTAGTTTACCCTTAAATGTGCTTGCATTTTATTTTACAGCATTTATACTAACAGTGTACTTACTAAACAAAGTACTGGGCTATATAAAGTTACTAGTACCTGGTTATGATATGCTTAACTATAGTTATCCTGTTTTTGTAAATGACTGTGATAATTAATAATAGCTCCTTACTATTATATAGCGCTTTTCTGAACACTCAAATCGCTTTACACATTGGGGGGAAACCTCCTCATGCACCTCCAGTGTGCAGCATCCACCTAGATTAGGTGACAGTAGCCATATTGTGCCAGACTGCACACCAAACATCAGCTGTTTGGTGGAGGGGAATCAGAGTGGTGAAGCCAATTATGATATTGAAATGGTTACCATCATAATGGACAGAAACCAGTGAGCAAATTAGGCCAGGTTAAATCCCTACCTAATTTTAATGACAACAAAGAGTCAGGACCTCAGTTTAATGTCTCATCTGAAAGACGGCGTTCACTGAGCAGTATAGAGTCCCTTTCACTATGCCAGGACCCACACAGACCACAGGTTGAGTGCCTCACTAACATCACTTCCAGCAGCAACATAGCTTTTCCATGTGGTCTCCCATCCAGATACTAACCAGGTGCAGCCCTCCTTAGCTTCAGTGGGCGACCATGTGAGAGATGCAGAGAACTAGCTGCCGGCAGCTAGTACATATTATGCTTGAAGTGTTTTGGTTGAACAGACTTTTGAAGGTAGGACATAAATCTCTCATGCATTTGTAACAACATGAGGGTGAGTCAAGAATGACACAGTTTTCGTTTTTGGTTGAACTTGAATCCCAGGCTTAAATGTGACAGACTTAAAATCCGGACATACCTACAGTAGGCATAGTAAGGGTTGGATTGTAGGGGTGGTCTGACTTATTTAGATTCTTTTTGACTTTGTTTATGTTTATGAGGAAGGTAAGCTTCCTGTATTTTTCTTTAAAGACTTACAGGTTATTTAGATTATTTACTTAGCAGTTTCTTTTGTTTGTTGTTTTTGGCCAGTGGCTACCCTAAAAAGATCTTCATTTAAATGGTATTATTTTTTTTGTATAAAAAAATCTATTCAATTTCTCTCAATTGAGTCTCTGCGTTTAGTTGTCGACCGAAGGGGATCTTTACCCTAAGTTTATTTTGTTTGTTTCCCTTGGAAAATCCACCACCTACAAACATTTCATTTATTATACCCATGCTGTTTTCCTCTAGACTTTGGGCATAATAGCAACAAACACATCTACTCTGCTGAATATATAAGGTATTTTAACACACATTTATGCATCGTGTCATATCACTCAGCTCTTGCTGTGATTTTTCTGGAGTGAAAGAACACAAAAAATGTCATAGGACTCTACTGTTTATGCATAGGTTAATATTTATTCTTTTTTTTTTCATATACATTGAAAACCAAAATGTACAACTCTAACTCTATTCTGTCAGCCCCTTTTTCAAATAAAGATATAATTTAGCCTATATTTTCACTCTGGTGGTATACAGATCACTCACTCACTTCTTTTAGCTGAAATAAACATCTCTACCACTCACACGGAACCTACTCAATTAGTTTAAATAATTTTGGACAACTGAAGTTTAATTAATGTTGATGTGTGTATTTTATAGGACATCACATTGTGTGTGTTTGTTGGATGTGTCAACAATCCATCTGATTATGCTTAAATTTAACACAGCATAAGGAATAACAACGTTGTTACAATTTACCAGTTAATCCAATAATACATTTAAAATATTCAAACACTGTATGCTTCACAATGAATTTATAATTTATATATGTATATATATTTTTAATGGAAGTAAATGTAGCACAAACTGACACTTTGTTTTGAAAATGACCTCCAATACTTTGTTAATACAATTTTTTCAGAATCCTCAGGTTAACGGCCAGACTAAACCATAACCTCCTAAAAATACAAAAGAAATGCTTAATAATCATTCCATTTTAGCTTATGCATACAAATTATGAGACAAGAATTCAACCTAATACAATAATCTTTAGGGAAATCATTTTGTTTTATTACTATTTTGCTATAGGTGAGTGTTCATTATTGTGACTGACCTTTGTGTGAGACATCCTGAGTGCTGAATGTTCCCCTGTGCCAGATAGAGCAGCTGAGGAGCATAAGCAATGCCGTATTACATGACTGTGGGCACTGACTGGCCTGCCAGTGCAGCAGGGCTCCCTCTATGCTCTTGCTCATAACCTTATGGGCATATTCATTTGGCATTACTAACCTCCTCCCAAAACACAACGATCTGAAAAACAGGGCAATAATGGAACGAAACACACATTTGGGATCAGATTTTATTTGGACTCACATAAATAACAATAGTTCATATATATATTTTTGTATATTATACAATTTATATATAATATATATTTCCTCCTATGATTTACATTCTTTTTTTGCTAAGTTATATCTATTGAAACAGGAGCATAATGTTGATGAACAGCTGCTTGAGCACATGATATCAAAGAAGAGGATTCAGTTCTTTCTTTTCTTTTCTTTTCTTCAGAAATGTAGAAAACAATCAATCGAAAACAGAAAAGTAATGAATTAATTAGTCTCAAATGCAAAGAAAAGGGCTAACTGGAAACCTGATATGCCATAACAATATTCTTCCTGGACATTTCCCATAAAAAAATGTTTATATAAATATAAAACAGCAGAGAATATCACAGGAAATGCTTCCAGCCAAGCCAGATCATCATGCAGTCACCCAGTGAATCGCACTTGAACAAACAAACAATTCTAGATCAGTAACTGACTTCTCACCTTAACCATTTGGCCTCTGAAAAGCCCAAATCTGAGCTTATACATGAGTCTGAAAAAAGGGAGAAGCAAATCTTCAAACTATCCCTCAAGATTTGCCTAATGATAAGTGTAAATGTTGAAGACTTCCTGGGATGCATGTCATCTTGCTGTTTTCAGCATGCAGGGCTGCACTCAAGACCGTGACACATGACAGCAGCTGCTGCATTGCCAGGGACAACAGGACTGACATCAGTGTGACTGAATGAAGTAAGAGAGACTGAGAGGGAGGGACAGTGCAGTAGTGGACATCTCAGGGTTTGTGTTCATAGAGAACACACACTGACAATGATTTGTCATTGCTATGTCAAACGTCTCCCACACCGGTTCCACATGCAGAATTGTCAAACTCACCAAAAAAGCTCCATCAGTCTAAAAAAAAAGTCTCATTATGGTGTTTCCCAAAATCTAAACATTTGGTTTTGAGGCTCTAGGTAATTAGCCAGAAAATATATAAATGTGAACAAACACAAGCCTGTTCATTATTGCTCTACTATACTTTTGATGTATCATTGATTTATAGATTAAACGCATGAGTTCATGGTCATGGCGCCTTCAATTTGAACAAGAAACTAATACCTCTTTTCCACCAACGTGCCACGTGCTAATTTAGAGGCAGTGTTATTGCTATTTAGGAGCGGGTTCATCTGGCGAGCCTTGTTTCCACTGAGTGGTACGGTTTAGTTTAGTACAGATCACCTTTAACAGGCTTGTCTCCAATGCCAAAGGGTACCTATGGTTGGCGTTGTGTACAACCTAAAGTTTCAGACGATGTCATTCCCGCTCGAGGAAATGTGTACAGTAAAGCTGTGTGGGTCGTTCACATTTCATATGAGAAGCACTTCTCATGTATAAATGTTCATTAATAACCTTTCCATGAACAGGATTTGATTATAAATGCAGATAAATTATGCAAAATAGCCTAAGCATTTATCCATTTCTGAAAGAATCGGATGTCAGAAGCACTTCAATAATCACCTGCATGTCATTATTATGAGCTCAAGAAGTTTGTTATTTGAAATATAGACGCGTGGCGACTGCACATGAGCTCTATGAAACAAGCCTCGGAAACAACAACAGGACACAGCAGATTCTGTTTTTCTTTGGCTTTGTGGCTATTTATAAAGATGACGACAAGGTTTGTTTAAGTTTGAGTCAACAATGGTTTGTTAAAACATGTATATAGTATTATGGAGAAATGTCTGGGCTGTGCATTTAAAAATGGAGCTTCCTGTGTTTTCATTCTCCTGGCTTGTGCACGTACTAGTGATGTTTCGCTGTAAAGCAATAGCAATCAATCTGCGCATCTTGCTCCACGTTATGGTACTCTTTTGTTGTGCTAGGTACTCTTTGGAAAGGGTAGCCAAAAAGTCATATGGTACGGTTCGCTTTTTGATTCCCTTTGACAGTGGAAACAAACATAAAAGCATGACAAACCGTACCATACCGTACCGTACAGTACCACTCAGGGGTAACTGCCATAACAACTGCTTTGCTATTTCACTGTCTAGAGAGTCAGACAGTAGAGCCAGGTCAGACGTCACTGCTTACATCTTATTTTTCCAGCAACACAAATGCAGAATCACCAAATACAAACGTGGGATTAACGATGCGTTGCTATTAATATTAATAACTTTGCAAAACTTTGTAAATCAAAGCTTAACATATCTGAAGTGTTCATGCAGCGTGGAGTAGTTTGTATAGACAGAGTTTACGAACAATAATGACATGTTCATGCAGCGCACCATGATTTGTATAGTCAGAGAATACATGGTAGAAAACATATTTGCATATGGCGCTGTAATTTTAATAGAAAAAGATTAACGTTCATCACTGTGCTTCTGTTTCAAAAATGGCACTCGATAGAATTTCCGCACAACAATGTTGTGGTTTTACTTAAGAACCGATTTTCCTGGTTCAGAGTCAGTGCTTTGTGTGCCGAATGATATAGAACTGATTTGAAACTAGGCTTTGGCTCTGAACTAGCATTTAAACTGCCTTGGTGAAAAAGAGGTATATGGGACCAGTAGGTAAAGAAATGCTGGAAAAACCATAAAAACTGAGGTAAATGCAAACCCATCTTTATAGGATTAGGAATTTGCACAAATGGGAGTTTCCCATGAGGGCGAAAAAAGTTAAACCCAAAAACTGCCTCTAAACTCCAAGCCAAATAAGTTAAAAGTCTAATTCAAACAGCTAGTAGGTCTTAAGATCACATGGAAACATATAGAAAAAGAGATTGTACAAATTAATATGGATTAACCACCAATTTGCACAACATAAAGATAGAAATTCTCTGGACAGTTTGTTGGGTAAACATCTGTTTTGCATTTTCATCCTCTGCAAATACTATCAGTGCACAAAACCTATCCCTATATGATGAGCTCAAATTGACTGTTGCTCTGCACAACTGTGTGGGTTACTCTTTGAGGTGGGGATGTTAAACTCTTCCAACCATATCATACAGAAGACACTGTACAAATTCATATGATTTAGCCATGAGTCATTTATTAATTTTCCTTTGGCTTAGTCTCTTTATTCATCAGAGGTCACCACAGTGAAATCCAGCATATGTTTTACACAGTGGATGCCTTTCCAACTGCAACCCAGTACTGGGAAACACCCATACAATAGCCATCAATCAGTAAAATGTAAAATAGTTACACATGTTGTGTAATCATCTGTTTTATCCAATTGAAGTCACAATGCCATCAGCACATGCAGATTCTTCTAAAGGAGCAGTCACATTTATTATTGATCTGCTCAACCTAGGTGAAAACTACACATTCAAATAGGAATTATCACAGCTGAGAGTTTCCCATAAATGCAGCACGGTTCAATGAGAGTAAGAAAGATTGCTAAGCCAAATAATCCAGCAATTTGCTAAATATAAAATAATTATGAATTGGGCATGGTCATAAGGGCATGTTGAGTAATTGTCAGTTTTATGCTTTTAACCAATGCAAATAACAATGCTTTCAGTGCATGCAACTTGTTCTTAAGGGGTGGCCACTATTAATGCCATTATGCGCAATTCTGTGAAATCCAACAGGATATAGCTTGATTGAGAGTTCTGCATGATGGCGAACATTTTCACCAAGCAGTTTTTACTGTTCAAATTCAAGTTCATGCAAATTTACCATGCTGTCCAACAATACAGTTGCTTAGTTTGAAAGTGACTTCTTTATGCTTTGGCTAAACTGTCACTGAAATTTCACTCGTAACTGCACTGATCCACTTTATATTTTTGAAGGGAGCGTTAAGCTCTCAAGGAGGACTTGCATGATTCCTGTGCCTGCAAAGTGGATGGGATGGTAAAATGCTCTGTGCTTTCAATCAGAAAGATACAAAAGAATCAAAGCAATCATGTACATTCAGCAGAGCGAAGAGGAAAGACTCCACCAACACAAAGCAAAAAGTGCAGCAGGACAGTTGCGTCAGTAGTACAAATACCTCCCAATCTAGATATTTACAATAAACCGATTGGACACAAACCACTCTTTCAGGGAAGTGTCTCCAGTTTAGCATGCTATTGCAAAGATCTTTTGCTACACACTTGATCTTTTTGCCTGTACTGTCTAACACAAGTGATTGTCTTTATCCGAACCCACAACTGAGTGTCCTTATTATAGCCCTGAACGTCACACTGCGGAAGATCACGGAAGATTCGTCACAGCTTTAGATGCTCATTTAAGTCACTTTAAATGATAAACTGAAGAAACGAAATGTTCTGTTGCCAATCTTTCACATATATTTGAACAAATGTGATGGTTTTATATGCACTATGGTCCTGAAATTCAGCTCTAGATGGTCCTTACAGGCGTTAATTGTTGAACACATCCACAGATGGGACTTTGCGGTACATCATATATCAATGATTAAAAATACATGTTAAAAAAACACCAGGGGAACTTGTGCCTCATGCTTTTCACAAAACTAAACCAGAAACTGAGATAGTGAGAACAAATCACAGAGGAAATACATATCATGCCATCATCTCAATCATCTAACCAAAGCATCATCTTTTCTCCCTGAATATGAAAAGAGTGTGTTATAGACCCATCAGATAATAAATGTAACCCTTAGTAGAAACACCAAATTGTCATCCTAATATAATCCACTTTATTCGGTCCAAACGGAAGTCCAACCTTGTCTCAAGTAAGCAAGTCTTTTTACACACAGGAGGAACAAATTAAACTCTAAAAAGTGCTTTTAGGGATACATTAGAACTGACAAAAAAAGCAAACTGACGTTAAGTCTTAAATAATTTACAATTTAACTTCCCCCAAATCAGCTGTTAAAATCGGAGAGCTCATAATACACGCACTAACCGCTCATTTATGTAATCAACTAAAGCTCCAACTTCACCCAAGATCTGAACACTAGGAAAAGAAGAAGGGCAAAGGAACCTTCTGGAATAATCAGCTCCTTGGGTGCCTCAGTGGCAGCTCTTTATTCCAGAAACATAGGGTGACTCCTGTTGGCGGCAGATGCCCTCTTGCTGCTCGCTGCAGTCCACAAAGTCAGGCACCGGCAGCCCTGACATGATCATCAATGACTTGTTCCAGATCATGAAGGTGGGAGCCACCGGAAGCAGGAAGGAAACGTCAAAAGTGTATATGTGCTGGGAGTTCATGGCATCATAGAAGGACAGAGTGTTGTTGTCGTAGTCCAGAAGAACTCCCACCCTGCGCAGCTGTAGTGACGCTTCCACGATGGACTCCTTGTTGTTGTGCCGCACCAAGAAGTTATTGTTGCAGCGTGAGAAAACCCAAGATGATGAGTTTTTACCACTCCACTCGTTTTTGGGTGCTGACTTATAGGCCACACCAAGAGCGTACCTGAAGGGGAAACAGATGAAAAACACTGTTATTGGATACTGGGGCATAATGCTATAGGTATCTTGGCTCTCTTTAGTGTCTTAACACAGAATTTACACCAGGAGTATACAATCCTGCTTCTGGAATACATTGGTCCTGCAAATTTGAGCTCCATCCTGTTTCTACACAACTGACTAGAAGTTTCTATTTAGGCCAGGGATTGCCTTACTTTTGGGAGATGAGAGTCTTTATTACTTACCACCAGACAAAGTGTAAGGGCATACTCACACTATGTACAGTTGTTTTGAACCGGGCCAAAGCACGCTTGTCCCCCCTCCCGTCTCCCCTGATGGCCCGCACTCACATTACATTCGGGCCTGGGCAAGCTTACGTCATCGATGATCGATTGTTCAGTAGAGAAACCCTCTCGCTCAGCACAGTGGACATTTCTTTAGTTATATTGTTTTAGTTGTTTTAGATGCGGTGTCACACAGTCAAATATTTCGCCAAACAGATCCGCCACTTTTGACGCCCATAAACAGTCATAAAGTCCTGGTGCTGAAGGAATTAGGAGGTTTGCTAAAGGCGCAGCTGTGGTGCAGTATGGAATTTGCATCTTTAATAATCTTCGACAGTAGTTTCCAGCTTAGGCACGTTTTGCACTCACACACAAGTGTACCGCACCAAAGCCCAAGTGAACCGCACTCAGGCAAACCTTTTCCAACCGAAGTGAACCGTGCCTGAGCCTGATTCAGCTCACTCACACTTCACAAATAATCCGGGAAATGGGCCTGGGCACGGTTCGGATAGTATAGTGTGAGTAGGTCCTAAATGCCGACTTGAAGCTACATCAGGAATGGTCTCTGATCTCATTCCTACACTCACATAGAAGTTTCTAGTGGGACCAAAGATTGTCTTACTAAGAGATAAGAGTCTGCATTCCTTACCTTTTGGAAAAAAAAAGATAATGGCTAACTTGGATCATGTGAGGGACCTTGGGCAATCATATAATGTCTTATTGCAGTGTTTCCCAACACTTATCCTAGAGGTACACAAGATGTCAAATCACCTTTTCTGACCCATTAATTTCAGGTTTTGGAATCTTCTAATGTTCTGATGAGCTGATTCACCTGCTTCGAATGTTATCATATGATTGAATGGACTTTATCTGTGTAATATAAATGTAATGTGTGTATTTATATAGTGCATTTATCGTGTATGGCCATACACCCAAAGCGCTTCACAATCATGAGGAGGGTCTCTCCAAACCACCACCATTGTGCAGCATCCAGTTGGATGATGCGACGGCAGCCACAAGACAATAGCGTTAAAGCGCTTAACACACACTGGAGCTAATTTAGTGGATGGGGATGATTGGGAGGCCATGATGGTAAAGACCGAGAGGGAATTTGGCCATGACACAGAGGTTACACCCCTACTCTTTACGAGAAGTGCCATGGGATTTTTAATGATCACAGAGAGTCAGGACCTCGTTTTATTGTCTCATCCGAAAGACGACACCCACTGACAGTATAGTGTCCCCTTCACTGTTACTGGGGCATTGTGACTCACACAGACTACAGGTCAACCACCCCTGCTGACCTCATTAACACCCCTTTCAACAGCAACCCGTTTTTTCCATGTGGTCCTCCATCTGGGTACTGACCAGGCTCATCCCTGCTTAGCTTCAGTGAGTAAACGCTTGGGCTGCAGGGTGATATGGCTGTGGCGTGGTTATCAGCTGATAGCTATGGGGGGCCTTCTATGACTACTGGTAGGCTCAGAAGGCTGTTATCATCCATCCACATGGCTAATAAGCTATACTAATAGAGAAGACTCCAGATCCAGATCTGTTTTTACATTACTTTGACGGTTGGGATAGGGCTAGATGTTAATAAAATACAATAAATGGGAAATTTAATAAATATTATAAATAATTCTCGTGGTCAATCAGCTATACTAACAGAGAAGACTCCAGATTGAGATCTTTTTTTTACATTACTGTGATGGTCGGGTTTAGGGTTGGGGTTAACGTTAATAAAATACAATTAATAGTTAATTTTAGAAATAATATAAATAACTCTCCGGCCGCAGCCATACGTGATCTATAGCTTATTCACCATGTGGATGGATGATAGCAGCCTTCTGAGCCTACCACTATATCTATCAGCCCATGTCTTTCAGCTGATAACCACTGATAATTGATTCAATTGAGTGATAACATTCGAATCGGCTGGCTGATTCAGGTGTGTTTGAAACAGTTGTGTAGGAACAGTTGTGTAGTGCTGGATTGCTGTTAGAAACAGGGTTGGGAAACACTGGCCTATGGTCTGCATCCCTGTCTACCACGAAGATCGCAGTGCTAATATTAGTGGTTATGCTGTTTGGGCTAAAGTTTGCCACATGCCTATTGTATAAGCCTTGGTAAGAGTGGAAACTTGATTAACTGGGTCAGGTAAGTTTAATTAGGATTGGATCTAAACTTTGCTGGAAAGTGGTTCTTATGTCCACTGTTGTGTTTGTATTTATGATTCATTTATGTAGCACCATGGTCCAGCGAGACACAACATTTTGTTTCTCTGTATGTCCACACATGTAGCAGAATGACAATAAAGCTTGACTTGATTTCTGTTCAGCTTTGGGATACACCAATACTCTTTTTTTCCAGCTGCTGAAAACTGTTTACACTGGATTTGACAGAGAACAATTAAAATCAATGTATCCTTCGTGGATTAGAATAGGATTGAATCTGAAAGCTATAGGATGGCATCAGTTTATAGTTGAAGATTTTTTGTGTGTTGTATCACCTGCAGTGTAGACCAAATATCTCATTATAATAGAATTTATTGTCTGTTATTGAGTTGAGTCATACCACAGTTGTCAGGTGTGGTCATTATGCAAGCCAAGTGCACACTTGATGATTCTAGCCATGATTTTTTCATTTGAGACAAGTTAATCAAAATCTATTGTCTTTGGTCATTAGTTTGACATGTCTTACAATGACTGTCAAGCCAAGCATCAACAGGAGCACAGAACATGATGGCTCAATTAATGAAGCAACAATGAATTACCACTCACTCAATTATTTTTTGCTCAATATTAATGCTGGAGACACTTTTATTTTGGTCGCCACCTTTTCAGTTCTCTGTGTTTACCGTCAGTACAAGTTTCATGGATTGATGAAGTAAAACAATGGGGAATTGTTTGTGATTATGTCATTTTTTTAAATGAGTTTTGACTGTCACAAACTCTGGCAATAATGACTGACCACACAGAATGAATCGGGGGGTTGGGGAGGGAGGTGGAACCCACCACCTGGTCTTCATAAAAAAAGGCTCGGATTCCTGGAATTGAACATGTAATCATTCTTAATAAACCAAGAGAAAATTCGAAGTAACCTGACAGCAAGCGATCAGTAGTGATATCCTGTAGACAAATAGCTTTTTCAGATAGCACAATTTTTAATAAATACAAATACTGAATATTAGAACAGAAAATACAAGCACAACAGTTGCACATGTTGTTTGTGAAGCCAGTCTGACTAAACTATGAACTTTAATAATGAATAAAAATGAGCAAAGTGTGTTGTTCAAATTGTATGGTCATAGTGGTAATATTCTAATCCACTATTTTACTCTGCTTGTCAACAATGGTTTTAAATAAAGATACTGCATCACACATATTTAGATTTTTTTTGTGGATATGCTATATTACACTTGCAATACAGCAAGTGGAGTTTCAGACTATTAAGAGTAATTTAAAGCATTTCTAAAACAAAATTGTTAATAAAATATTTAATTATTCTGTGTATTTCAAGTGTTGCACATCCATACACTCTCAAAAATAAAGGTGGAGGAGCTGTCACTGGGGCAGTACCTTTCATACATTTGTACCCAAAGATTTCACATTAGTAGCTCAATGGGGCTTATTAGTACCCAAATGTACCTAAAAAGTAACGCTTCAGGGACAAGTTTCTACCTTTTGAAAAGGTACTGCCCCAGTAACAGCCCCTGTACCTTTATTTCTGAGAGTGTAGTAAATTTTTGTACTGTGGAAAAGAGCAGGGGTCCATTCTTCGTACCTTACTTAAATAATCTAAGATGATTTGGCAGATCCTGAATCTTTTAATCTTGATAACTAATCTCTGGCTAACTTGGTTCTTCAAACAAGTTTGCAAATCAGATTAAAATGTCCGGATGAACTGATCTGAGATTGCAGCGTGTGAATCATGATCAGGAATGCAACGATTGGCTGACGGCACAGCAGTGTAATGACATCATCTGAATAATATTCTATGGTCCAAGTCAGCAAAATTACATAAAATTCAGAGTAAACGGTTTGTTAAATATGATACGCAATAACTTTCCACATTTGTTAAGGGCTGCAGACTTTACACTTTCATTTAGCAACTGAATTAGTTTTATATTTAAAGTGGATTTTCTTTATTATAGTAGTCTGGGCCTATTCAAGTTTCATAAACTGCATAAGGAGTAACTGGCTGTTAATAAATAAGATTCATTTTGCATAAAAAAAGCATAAACGCATTTTGATATTGCTAAAGGAGTCTGCAACTTTATCAAATCATTAATGATTCAGCATATTAGCAGTCAAAACATGTGCATGACTGCATGAATTATAATTCGAATATTGTGCATGTCTATTATTATACACAAATTGTACTAAAGCTGGGTCAGTATCTTAAAATAGTATGCATTTGTATATAAAAGGTCAATATTAATAAATGTTCTTTTTGAACCCCTTAAGAAGAACTACCCGTGACAGTCTTTATTTTCAATCTATTTATAATTTATTTATAATTATTTATATGTCTTTATTTAACTTATTTCAGAGTGCAGATTGCAAATATATATATATATATATATATATATATATATATATATATATTTTTTTTTTTACTTTAAACTAATTTTTTTTTTTTTTTACAATTTTACTATATTCCCAAGTGTATATAATTATTACTGTAAGAAAGTATCAGCATTTGGTATAAACTTTCAGTATTACCTTGAAATAACCCGATCTGATCCTGTTTATATGAAATAAGCCTGCTCCTGAGCAGGTTTGAGCTACCAGACCTGTTGCTATGACAACAAATCTCACATGAGTTTTGAAGAATGAAGCAATCCTGGATCATCTCAAATAAATAAAATTTGGTAAATAACCAAATCCAAATAACTGAGCAATCCACATACGAAGAATTGACCCAAGGTTTCATACTATTGCAGGACTAATAATCTATGGTAGCAAATAGTCTGACTCAACTCGTCAAGAGAACAAGCACAACTCGAAGATCTAAAGTCACATACCATGTAGAGGCTCCCAGTAGTACTTCCCAATAATGGCAACCACTGTCAATGAAGACGTTGCCAGCAGCTCCATAAGATCCAGTTCCGCTGAAGCGTTCTGGAGTGTGGCTTTTCTTCAGCGAGCTTTCATCCTTCTCCATTGTCAGACAGTCATTCGAGAGCCGCAGTTTCTTATGGGCCGTTTTGGGGTCTAGTTTGAAAGGCTGACCTGAGGAGCAGAGAGACAAGATATGAATAATAGCCAATAATAACAGCTGAAGGACTGCGTTCTCTGACCTGAGAAGGAACACTCTCCAGTCTGCAGGAATTTGTACAATTTATTACTTGTCAGTTTTTGCTCTTCTGGTTAATTAGGAGATGAGCAGTTTTGATAAAAGGCCCAGTGTGTGCGCAAAAAGTTGAAGATGTAGTGAATCAAAAGCTAAATGAAGTCAGCTTAGAATATGATTTGAGTTGTATAATTCTTGAAAAGCAGAGGTGACCCCGCAGCCCCGGTATTTAACTCTGGCATGTCTAAATCTGCCGATCCCCAGCGTAATGACTGACAATTCAGGAAAACAATCAGCTGCACTGCGTCCCTGCCCACAAACCAATCATCTCAACCCAGAGTGAGCTTTACTGCGTGCAGATATGAAAGGTTCTGGCAACGTTCTGCTGGAAGCCAATAACATTAACACGCTCTTGTCTTTGAACTGCTTATCGCTGCGAGCACAGCCATTCTCAACACTCGTGCAGTCATGCCATTTTACAGCATGTGTTTGAGGACGCTGGGAAAAGAGATGCACACACACATACACACACAGCAGGGTACAAACGAGAAGCCCATGAAATGCTTATTGCCTGCGACTATAAAACAGATGAACCTTTTAAGACAAAACAAGGTAAAATGGCATAATTGTGCTGTGCAGGTGTCTGAACTGAATTCTTTATTGTGTCTTTTTTATTCAAAAAGAAGAGCTTAAAGCACACCTTTATATGCTTAATCCACTGGAATTTATGTAGTTTTTTTTTAAAGAAAATTTGTTCCATTTATAAACATGAAATTAAAAGCATCCAATTTGCTTGTTCAAATATATATATATGAAGAGTTCAAGTGCAAAAAGTGTGTCTGACATTTTTCTTTGAAATGAGTGGATCCTTCATTTAGGTACTGTAATTTCATTTTAATAACTGGAAAATAAAGCATTTCATTTCATTCATTCATTCTCCTTTGGCTTAGTCCCTTTATTCATCAGAAATCGCCACATCAGAATGAACCACCAACTTATCCAGCATGCGTTTTACACAGTGGATGCCCTTCCATCTGCAACCCAGTACTTGGAAACATCCTTACACACTCATTTGCACACATTCACTACAGACAATTAGGTTTATTTAATTTACCCATAGCGCAGGTCTTTGTACTGTGGAGGAAACCGGAGCACCCGGAGGAAACCCACACAAACACGGGGAGAACATGCAAATATACATACATACATATAAAATATATACATACAATGGAAGTCAGAATTATTAGCCCCCCTTTTCATTTTTTTTTCTCCATTTTTAAATTGTTCACAAATGTTGTTTAACAGAGCAAGTAAGTTTTCACAGTATGTCTGATAATATTTTTTCTTCTGGAGAAAGCCTTATTTGTTTTATTTCGGCTAGAATAAAAGCGGTTTTTAATTTTTTAAACACCATTTTAAGGACAAAATTATTAGCCCCTTTAAGCAATATATTTTTCAATAGTCTACAGTACAAACCATTGCTATACAATAACTTGCCTAATTAACCTAACCTGCCTAGTTAACCTAATTAACCTAGTTAAGCCTTTAAATGTCACTTTAAGCTGTATAGAAGTGTCTTGAAAAATATCTAATAAGACATTATGTACTGTCATCATGGCAAAGATAAAATAAATCAATCTGTTAAACAGAAATTGGGGAAAAATAGGGGGGCTAATAATTCTGACTTCAACTGTATATATATATATATATATATATATATATATATATATATATATATATATATATATATATATATATATATATATATATATATATATATATATATATATATATATATTGCATATAATGCTGTAGAGCTGAGTGAACAAAAATGTGTAAGGAAACAGCTTGTGGATTTCTGACAGCTGCTGTCAGAAACTGATGTCCGTGTCACGTATATACTGAAAAGTTTATTTGTAATGAATAGAAATTTCGCAATGACAGCAACATAATGTGCAGTGTCAGCTGTGACCACTGCCGTTAGACAGCACCTCACTGTCTTTCAAATCTCTTACAAAAATAATTTAGAACTTCTGTGAGCAATTTGGTGAAACATTTTTTAGACAAATTTGCAAAATATGGTCAGTTTTTTATCTGCTAACGAAAGCCTTTATTAATAAATGTATACTTTATTTAATAAAATAAATATAAAACAATACTATTTATTATATTATAGAACTGTTGGTAACACTTTAGTTTTGGTGACAATTTATGCTAATAACTGGGTTATTACCTGCCCGTTATTAAGATAATAACTGTTTATTAGTAGTTCTAAAGTATGATCTTATTCTGGATCCCTAGTCCTACCCAGAACCTAAACACAACTTCTACCTAACTAACAATTAATAAACAGTTTATTAGTAGTTTATTAAGCTAGTAGTGTTTGTCTATGGTTTTATAATAGCATGACTTGTGACCTAAACTAAAATGTTACCGAATTTCTAAATGTAAAATCTTTTCATGCACCGCAAGCTGTTGATTATCCCTTACATATTTATCTGACTTGATTAATACATAAAGATATTAATTGCAATCTTTAAACACGTAAGCTATATAGTTTGTGTAGTGTTTTATTTACGTTGTGCAGCTGCAGTGACTGTATTTTCTGCAGAGGAGGGTGGACTGCTGACAGCTTGAGTGATGTCTATGCTCTGCAGGATGAGTAAATATTATTCTGAGATCTTTTAACAACTAGTAAACAGAGCTGCCCTTGGGGCTGGTTGTCATGTGATATTTCTCATATTGGCTTCATGTACGGTCACCAGACACGACAGTGCTGATTAAACAGCATTGGCCTCCTATAGGAGCGCAGAGTGACTACACACACGCACATGCACACACGCACACAAACATGCACGCACGCAAACAGACATGCTCACTTAGTTTTTCTGTCATTCAACATTTTACCTTTACATGGCAGAGTAAACATGACATTAAAGCTAGTCAACCGGAAAGTAAAAAAACTAACTTGAGCTGTCACTTGTTATTTCTTATAATGAAGTACAGAAACAATTACCAAAATGTTATGTTTTGCTCCTTAAAGTTTCCTGCCTTAAAGGTCATATGAAAATATTTTATTTTTACTGCAGCTGAACTACAGCTTCTTTTTTTCCCTTTTTATATAAATCTTCACTTACAGCACACATGAAAGTACCTACACAGGATAATAATGTTAGCTAAATAAAATATTGATCTGTTATACATTAAAAAAAGAAAGTACAATAAATAAGAGACCCTAAAAATAACATTTTTAAACTGTAAAGATGATGTAATATAATAATAATAATAATAATATTATAATGTAAAATGTGCCTTTCAATATTTATGGACACTATAACTTTTCTGATGTAAATGTGTGGTGTTAGGTTTACTTAAAAAAAGAAATTATCAAAAAATAATTAACATATTAGTCTCTGATAAAAAAATACAAAATTTTGGAGACCACTTAAAATGATCCAAATGATTTGGAGAAAAATATACATGTTTTTTACACTATAAAGATCTGATAACATTTCTCTTAAATTTCAAATAAAATATTATCATTTAAAGTATATTTATTTATCCAAATAACACAAGCAGTCAGAATGTCAGAATGTTTTTAATTGTGTGGTGTTTAAAAATCCGGGTTATTCCATCAATTATTGAGTGTTGGGTTAGTTACTTAAAGTAATAGATTACAAATTACTGACTACTACTGGAAAATTGTAATGAGGTTGCTTTACTAATTACTTCATGTAAAAAGTAATCAGATTACTAATTACTTTACTTTGAAGTTACTTTTAAAACATAAAATATACCTATAAGAATTCAAAATAAACTGCAGCTCTTTCAGTAATTTAATATTCACTGAAAAATATTATAATGGGTTGATCACCCTAGCTTGACATTTTCAAAAGACTTAAAGAGATAGTTCACCCAAAACTCAAAATTCTCTCATTCACTTGTTCCAAACCTATTTGTCTTTTTTTTTTTTTTTAAACAAAATAAGAAATTTAGAAGAAAACTGGATACCTTTAACCATTGACATCTATACTATGAAAAAGCACTCCAGTGTTTGGATATTCTGTGTTTGTCTCAATTAATTAGTCTACCTAAATGTGTATATTCCTTAGAAAGTATGAAGCTGATCAGTTCTTGTCACATGACATGTGGTTTTTAAATGGTTGTGCCTAGAAAATGCGAGTGCGCACAATATGCACTCCCAATATGCGCGCACAAAAAGACACAAATCCAATTTAGCCTGTTTTAGCCTGTCTGACTTGGGCCACTGTATTCCATGGTGACGAGTATTGTCAGAGAATGCTTTCTATTCAAGAGCTTGAACAAGTTGCTGGTTGAGTTCAAGGGCTCTATTTTAACAATCTAGGCACAAAGTCTAAAGTGCAAGGCGCAAAAGCATTAAGGACGTGTCCAAATCCACTTTTTGCTATTATAAGGAAGCTCTGTGCCCTAGCGCATGGTCTAACAGAGTTGTGCTTATTCTCTTAATGACTTATGGGTGTATTTTGAGCATAACGTGCATTAAACAAGAGTTTCATGTCCCATTCTCTTTAAGAGTCAGTTGTGACATGCCATGGCACATTTGCTATTTAGATGGCGGATTTTGTAAGTGGAAAAACTGAATGCTTCAAAAGTTAGAAAACAGTTAAACAGACCATCTGCAGTGAAAGGATAAAGAACAAGCCTCCACCATTCAGCCTCTTTACTTTCTTTTTACTTTAATCTTTACCCCTTTACTTTCGTGGATAAGGCCATCCATTAGCTTACATATTTATTTCGGTTGATAAGTGCAAAGATTTCTTTCAAAACTATTTCTAAATGCAGGTCTAATTTTCAGCAAATTAAAAAATGAACAATAATAACGCAGTGTGGTCAAAAGACTTAACTATGAGTTATGTCCAAACACACATCCTATTCCTATGCCCCATATGGTGATGCA